CATATCACATTCCAAGGTGCATTAAATCAATCTGTCCCTATTTCTGAAATTAATTTTGATTACCTTTTAAGGTACTATTCTATTCTCCTACTGTATAGTTTTTCTTTTCCCACTAATAAGGGATCTGCAGGGAGATTCTTTGAGATCAAAAAATATCTTGCTCTTCATCAAAATTTCCGTCTTAGATTAAGCACTTATTATGATTCTTGCTTGCCCCAGTTTTTACTGTGATGGTTACAAAAAAAGGTTTTCTACCTCCAGCACTTCCCCCATATTTAATAGTTAGCATTTGGCATTTTACTATAAACAAGATCCCCATTTTCCCTTCTCTCACATTTATCTTTAATCTATTTATTACTGATATGGATTTGTGGATTCCTAATTTTTCCAACTGGAAAATGAATTTATAATTCATTACTTTCCTTTGTTATTTGATGCTCAAATTGTCCTTGATTTAACAGGAGAAAGCCCTCTTTTGCTGACTCATGTCTATGTGACAGGTCTCATCATTGTTTTCAGGACTTTCTTATTTTCCAGCATAACAAGATGTTCCAGGGTTATCCCCTCTGCCTCAGCTCTGTACTCAGTATCTCTTCAAGGAGCCCTGATTCATTTTGTTAGAGTCAGGTATTAGAACCTAATATCTGAGTGCTATGTGTGTTCATCAATACCCTGGTATCTTTGTTTCTTGGCCTTTTCAGTGGACAGAGTTAGGAAACATATGCATGTTTATACACCAATATACATAAATATATTAGCACAAACAAATATATAGATACCTAAATATGTAGGGATATATCTAAATATACACATTTTAGAATCAAGAGTCTATTCCAATCCCTCAGTTGCGATCCATCCTCACATGGTTCACCCTTCTCTTCTCCTATTTTATATCTTTATCTCCCGCCTTCCTCAGTGAGAGCTCTGTCTCCCCACAATATTGACACATTTACATACTTCCTCAATCAGGATTGCTTCACCGATACTACTACAAAACAAACCTACTTTTAAAAGTTCCATATTTCTTTTCTGCTCAAAAGTATCTACTAGAATATTGTACTCATAAATTTCTCAGTCCCAGATATCCATATCATTTGTTTCCCTCTTCTACCATTTATAACCACATACCTTAAATAAGGCTCTTAACTTCTTTGAGCTTCATTCTCCATATTTGTGAAGTAGGCGTGATGATAATTCCCATTTTCTAGGGCTGGTATAAGGAGTAAATGAGACAAAGACTTTCACACAATACTTAATGCTGGAAGATTTCAACATTTGATCTGTAGTCTGAGAAAGAAGGGAAGAAGCTGTAGACTCTATTATCTTAGTGGTAGTAATGGTGGTGGTGATGACAGAATTAAAACTTTGACTTAATCAGAAAATCAGTCTATTCTAACGATTATTATTGAAATATGTATATACTTAGGTTTGATTTCAGAGAATGACAATCCATTTTTAATGTATCAAATTTTAACTTTATTCAAAAACAGTCATCATGTCTACTATTTTCTAAGTGATGGATTTAAAAATATAAATAAGACATGTTCCATGCCCTTTAGTGTTTATAACAGAATATGCAGCTAGGTAAAATAATTGTGAACACAAATTACTAAAAATGACACATGCTGCTATAGGCATTGAGATTAGGAAGAATGTATTAGAACTGGAAATAAAGTAGCTATGATTACATATAGAGCCCATATTGTTTCTAGAATACATATAGTATACCCAAATATTGCTATGGGAAATTATAGGGAGTTTTCTATAATAAAATAAAATAAAATTCCACTATATTAAAAATTAAGGTACCAAAATAATTTCTATGGCATCGAATTAAAATGCTACCCCCCTACTTAGCTATGACTTGCAAATCAATTTATAAATTATACAACATTTTATGATTTATTTTATCAAGCAAGTCTTGAGAAAGACTAAAAAATCTTGATTCAGATTCTTTCTCTCATTGACTAGCTCATAGATTCAAGAAGCTCAGCAAATCTTAACCAGGAAAAAAAACCACATATGGACACTGTAATGAAATTGTTGAGAACAAAAGACCTATAGGAAAGCCTTAATTGCAGCCATAGAAAAGAAAGGGGAGTGTGGTGGTGAGAGGACAAAGTCCTTCAAAAGGGGAATAATAAATATACATAATGGAATTACATAGGTAAAATAATGGAAGAAAGCTGATAAGCTAGAATTTTATATTATATGCAATGAAATGCTATTCAAAATGAAGTTTGTAATAGGCATAGGAATTAATAAGACCACAAAGCAAAATATGTGAGAGGAGAAAAAAGAAATTATGTTATTTTAAAGTTTTTTGCATAGTTTGAAAAGCTGTAAAAAAAAGTCAGAAAAGATATAGAAAATTTGAACATTATTTGCCATTTTTACTTAATTGACATTTTTGACATTCCACTAAAAAAAAAAGTACAAAATATAAATTATTTTCAAGTGTAGATGGAAATTTATTGAAATCAAACATATTCTGAGTCATAAATTAGGCTTAAACAAATTTTATAGGACTGAAATAATACAAAGTATGTCTTATGACCACAAGGATAGTAGAGAATATCTGGATATTGGTGAACTGGAGAAAATGAAAAGCACAACTTAGGAAAAGGACAAAGAAGAAACAGAAAATCTGAATAATACTATAACAAAAAAAACACTCCAGTCTATAATTTAAAATCTTCCCACAAGAAAAATACAAGCTCTAGTTTGTTTCACCAGTGAATTTCAACAAACTTTTAATCGACATATGTTAATTAACGTATCTCAGAAACTCCTCCAGACAACAGAGAGAGGAGATACTTCACAGACTATTTTATGAGGCGAGTATAATAAGGACACAAACACGTGACAAGTATATTAAAAGAAATAATAGGTAAATATCTCTTGTGAACATAGATGCAAAAAAAATATCCTAAATAAAATATTAGCAGAAGAAATCCAATAATTATATAATAGCACATAATGAGTTTATCCCATAAATGTAAAATTGGTTTAGTATTAGAAAATAAATCAATGTAATTCACCACATTAACAGAATGAAGGTAAAAACCATATAATCTTAAGAGATTAAAAAGATTCAATCTCCATTTATGATCTTAAAAATGTATCAGCAAATTAGATTAAGAGAATTCCTTAATCTAATTAAAGATATGTACTAAAAAATCTACAAGTAATATTGTAATTATTAGTGAAATGTTGAATGCTTCCTCCTGCATTCAAGAACAAGACATAGATTCCTTATTCTAGTCAACACTGTGTTGGAGAGCCTTATCAATGCAGTAAAGCTAAAAAAAGAAACAAAAGGTAAGGAGATTGAAAGGAAGTACTAAAATTGACTTTACTGTTTGCATAGAAAATTCAAAGAGAATCCACACAAAAAAAAATTAGTTAATAAGGGAATTTGTCATCAGGATATCATAAAAAAAAAAAAACCTAATGTCTCTCAATACCCAAACTATGTCATGAGCTATGCTTGCTTACAGGAACTGAAAAGGATCTCCAACCACAAAATTAAGAGGGTGAGGGCAAAGACCAAAATGCCCAGAGCAAAAACCAAGATGGTGAGGAGACATCGTGTGCAAAAGGGCCAAGTATGACAGAAGAATAACTACACTTGCCTAAAATAGTTTAATCATTCCATGCCACAGCCTACAAATACATAAGGCTTTTTCCCAGTAGTGCCATTAGAACATGAGCTCACTCTTCTCCATTCCTTGATCAAAGAATAAAGTTCCTGTTATGCTTTGCCAAACTCAGTCTTTTCTATTGGCATGAACAGCATTGGGCAGGACCTTGGTTTGGGTCCCTGACCCAGAAGAGTCCATAACAATTTAACAAGGTAACTGAATTCGAGGTCAATATATGTAAAAAAAAAGAAAAAAGAAAAAAGAAAGAAATTAACTGCCTTTCTATATACTAGAAACAGAAATTTTAAAATGCTATTTAAAAGTCCATCGTTAAATATAAAAAAATTAAAGACCTGAATAAATGGAAGGTGTAGAGCAAATAATGAATCCCTTCCATTGCTGGTATGAGTCCAAATTTGTACAATTTCTTAGGGAAACGGTTTGGCAATAACTACTAACACTATATATGCGCATAATCTATGACCAAGCAATTGCACTTTGATGTATATACCCAAGAGAAATGCATAGTTTTGTGCATCAAATATAATATACAAAATATCCATTCATAGTAGTACATTTGTAATAGCCCCAAACTGGAAGCAATATAAATGCCCACTTAAAATTGAATACAAATAGTGGTATATGTATACAATTATTTATTATATAGAAATGACAAAGCATACAATTCTGCTACATAAAACAACACGGATGAATCTCAAAGACATATGAGAAGAGTACAGAATAGTCTTTATCTGAAGAGGTGTATTAACTAGAAGAAGGCATGTGGGAGCCTTCAATATCTGCTGGATATGGTTTATATATGGCTCTAGGTAGTTGTTACATAGATAGAGTACATATGAAAGAATTCATCAAGTTATACTCTTAAGATTTAGACACTTCACTATATTTAAATTATACTTAAATTTTAAAAAGCCAACAATTCATCTTCTAGACAGTGACTATCTCTTACACAGACTGTTCTGACTGCTTGTTCACTCTGTGTTGCTAATATTAGTTTATATGCACATTTCCAAATAATTATTCACTGCATGAGAATAGAGTACCGGATCTTAAGATCTTATTCATTGTTGTACCCTCAGTGTTTAACTCATTGCCTGACATGTAACATATATACAACAATAAAAATAAAAGATGATTGTGAGGAATAAAGGTTATGAAATTTATCATGAACATATAACCCAGCACAGTGCCAGGAAATAGCATGTTTTAAAAAATTCTTACTACTTTCCTTCCCTTCCTAACAAAATGTACAGCTAACCTTATGCTTAATATGCAAGCTTTACAACAAACTGCTTCTTTCATTCTATAATAAAATTTCCCTTTTAATAATATGGATTCCTCATAAAGTATGATTCATAGGGTATGACAGAATTATTGTGTTAGTGGTATAATAGTAAAAGCTTGAACAATGTTGAGCTTCATTAAAGGTAAACCAGGGTGATCTGTTTTAATTATTGCAATGCAATACATCTGACGTACAACACTTGATTTTTCACTTTGTTTTTAAATAAATATGATTACACAACAGTAACATAAAATATGTAATAAAAAATATTTTCAAACAATTCAGGAGTGAAGGAAGTCTAATTTGGTTAGACATTTCATTCACCTTAAATGAATTGTAAGAGACTGATGTTCTCATGCCATTACTAAAATTCAGTTTCTATTATAATTACTTCTAGGTTATGAAGCACAAACAATGTCTTCTTTGCATTGATCTGGCGCAAAGAAAAGATAAATCTAAAAGAAATAAGCAATTAACATAAAAAGTAGCTGAAACTGAGAAATAGGAGAAGCTAGGATAAGCCCTTGTGTTTCCTAATCAGAAGTATATGGCGTGATTCCAATACGAGCCATAAATTGTAATTCACAGGGACAAATACAAAATTACTAGCATTGATTTGTGATTAAACTGGTACTCACAAGAACAACTCTATGAAGTATATTTCTTGTGTGAGTAGTATCATGAATATATTAATTTTATGATGGGAAATTATTTTCCTTGGGAATGGCTGGAGAGGTCAGCTAATCACACAAATTCATATGACTGATAAAAGAGTTGAGGGGTTTATAATTGTGCTATGAGATAAAGAGCTATTCCCGAAGGTTTAGCCATCTAGGACGTGATACTGTGTTGTTGGGTCACTTTTTCATACTATACAATAATTGCTCTTTAAAAAAATTATTTTCAAAATATCTAGCAGAGTGATCTCATGACAACCAAAATAACTTGCCAGAATTATCCATATAATTTTACTAACTCTCACGTTTATATTGAGCAAGTTGTCCTGTGTGAGTGAGTGTTTGTGTGTGTCTTCCAGTCAGACACTTACTTTATGTCATATAAAAATGCAGAATGACCCATCTCTTTTGACATATCTCCACATATTTTCTTTTAATTGGGATTTTTGTATAAGTTCATATTTTATTTGTTTTACGAATGAATCAAAGATAAACTTAGCCAGAAAGTAATCTGGGCAAGTTATTGCTACTGCTGAAAGAAAGAAAATATTAACATATTTCCACAAGACAACAACTAATTGCTAAATTAAAAGAAAATAACTTTCATGTTGACATAAATATATTGTTTTTTCTTCGCCTGCAATAATCAGAACATCGTACTTGTAGTACAATCTATGGAGTCCATAAATACCTTAAAAGCATTTTCAAAAGGTACATAGCCTCTCTAGCCAGCTACAATTCAAAGGCGGAAGGACTGGGAACCTTCTCAGCAGATGGGATGGTGTAATGTGTCTGGGGCTGGGGATTTGCATGAATATGAATTACAAATAGCACAGATAACATGGTGTTCAAAAGCTGTTTCGAATCTTGAATGTCAAAGTCATTTAGCTGACATTTGGAGGGACATAATTACCTTAAGAACATGGAAATGGGTTGGTCTAAATTGCATGGGCAGAGAATCACAGGACACACAATGGCATTGCTTTGGCAATAATTATGACAAGTGGGCATGGCCAAGGAAGCCAAGAATGGCACACATTAATGCAGTGACATTTTTTGAATGCATGCTGCCCTTTCAGAAATATGCATATGAGGCCTAAATAACCTCTGACCCATTATAAAATAACAGGAGACAAAAAAATAAAATCTACCATAAGTCTTATCACTGGCAGTCTAAAGAAAAAGAGTTCATTCACATTTCATACACAGTTTTACATATTTCAAACATTTAAAATGCATTTAACATTACCAGACTTCAAATTTTCACCATTTGTAGTAGGCTTACATGCAAGTCACTAATGGTACATAGAGTGTTTTCATTGAAAAGACTGACAATTACTGATTGTAGAATACAATGCTGTAAACTAAAATAATTTCCTATATTAACATAAACTATCAATCGAAAATTAAAGGAAAAAAATGTTTTCCATCAGTTTCTCATTATTCAGGTGTACAAAAAAAAGATGTTTAAAATGTGAGGCACTGTGAAAACCTGAGGAAGTGTACCAGACACAGTATATATAATAATAGGTAAGACTTAATGGATCCCTGGAGGAGGTAATTTATTACATGTGGTAGGGATCTACGGGAGCACATTTTATTCCCTAATTTTTGTCATTGGTACTAGACCTTCAATATAAACTATGATATTAAAGAAAGCTGCAAGAAAGTAATGCTCCATTAACATGTCATCAGATAATTCACATATAATTTCTGAAATATTGATTAAAATTCAACACTAGTGATACAATGAACACTTTAATATCTACCCACTAAAAGGAAAGTTGTGAACTCTAATTAATATTTCATTTTCAGAAGCGAATAAGATACTTGATATTTTTAACAGATCAGTATTTCATGCTGTAATAACATTTGAAGCCCAGAAAATATAATTCAATTTACACTGCTATTTACCTCCATTCTGATGCCAGCCCTGATGAACCACAGCCTCACTGGATCACCATTTTCCCCTATCTTCAATGGTACTTGTGGTCCATTCCACATGCTTAACACTTATTCACTTCTATATTGTTTGCTAATCTTTCATATACATCAGTATTTCCTCCTTGGTGGAATTATATAAATTTTTTATAAAATGATTAATATTATATTAAGGATATAATAGTTACTAATAGAATTTATTGATAGATTAGTAAAACACTGATTGTTGTGTGGTAATGAAAACAACATACTTGAACTGCCTATTGTACGTTAAGAATTGTGTTTAAATAGTGAATAAAAAGACAAACAACATAGTTCTTTCTATAATGGAGATCTTCCACAGGCTATGGAAGTCAGAAAGTAGGTGGATACACAGAAGTCAGAGTGATTGACAGACAGACATGACAATTACTACAATGCAAAAACAGTTATAGCAATCAATGGGGAAAACTGAGGAGTTTCTGCCAATGAAAGGAATAAAACCACTCATCACAGAGAAACCTATTTATTAATCATAAAATATTTCAAAGTCAAATTTCAAGAATAATTCAAAATTAGAAGAAATTAAATTGACATATTTGACAGATGATAGAAATAAAATCAAAATTAGGTTATCTCTAACTTAATGAGTTAAATAAATACTGTCATTATAAGACATTTTTAAGGCATTCTGGCCTAAAAAAACTGATTCTGAAATACAATCTTCATAATCAAAACTGTTTCATTCATTCAGTGAATGAATACTGATCCAGT